GCAGGAGTACTACTGCAGCAGCAGCGATGAGCTCTGCATCGCGACGCTTCTGGACCCGTCCATGAAGCTGGGCTACTTCAGCCTCCCGCGTGGCTCCCTCGTCACCTCTGTTGTTGACCAGGTGCAGGAGGCTGATGTGCTAGATCTGGTGTGCGGTAAGTGGCTGCCCTACATGATCAAGGTCCGTGAGGCAGCGGGGAACGCCGAGGTCGTGAGGGGTGGTGGGATGGGGAGGATGGGAGGGGATGGAGGTGACGATGTCCCCGGCCGTTTCGGCTCAGCGTTCGGGGGGATGACGACGATAAATGAGCAAAAAAATTGTAATAAAAAATTTACAGATTGTGATTCAACTAGAAGAGGAGTTTGTTGTGAAGGAGACAAACTCCTTCATCTATCGGCAGTACTTTCAGACCTGCCACCTAGTCTCATTTGCATTTTCTGTTCCAACTTGCCCACCCTGTCCTCCCTCGCTTTGATAACTAGCATGGCCTGCTCACCCTTGTTCTCTTGCCATGTATTTGCCCTGTCTAGTGTGCTGTATTATGGAGCTATGATTTGCTATGACAATTGCACTGCACACTCCTCTGAGGTCGTGTCACAATCAGTTTGGTTGCCCAGCTCGCACAGCTCCGCAGCCAGCAATCCTCCCAGGTCAAGGACGAGATACAGCTGTATGTGGATGAGCCGCTGGAGCCGATCTGGGCATCGCCCCTTGCCTACTGGCGCCGCAGGTCGGACCTTCCCGGACTGCAGGCGATGGCCAGGGATTACCTTGCCATACCCACCACGTCGGCGGCAAGCGAGAGAGTCTTCTCTCAGAGCCGCAACCTTATCACATGGAAGCGGCATCGTCTTGGGGCCGAGCGTGTGCGCGCTTACATCACTTTGAAGTCATGGATTGCGTCGCACCCCGGCGAGCGGCTCGCCAACGCGCCGGTCACTGGGGATGAGGAGGTGGAGGAGGACTTGGGGGGTGGAGGTGGAGGAGGGGCTGTGATAGAGGCGACGTCGGGGACTTGCTTGACTTGCCTCAGCATATCTGTCCTCAATGCACCATCACGCTAGCCGCCTAGGTTTCCATTATACCTTCTGAACATGCCACTCTCTCTCCCCATGCTTGCATGGCAGTCTTTGCTGCCCTTGCTTGCCCTCGACCTCCTGTTTCACTATGACTTGTTTGCTCTTGTTTCTCCATGCCTAGCTGCCCTTGCCTCGCCCTTTCCCCGACAATTGACAAGCCCTTGCTCGCCCTAGATGTCATCTCTCTCCCTGACTTGATCAGTAACTGTCTTTGGTGGATTATTTATGCCCCCTGTGACAGCGGTAACTTATCATAACAAATGTGATCGCTTTAGGACGCCGTAGCATAAACTTGCACTAGAGTTGCTGCAATTATTGATCTAGTGCACACATGCATTCTCCGTCCAGCCAAGGAACGGAGAAGGCTTTGTCCCTTCTGCAGCACCTGACCCAACCTGCCAGCACGTGGTGGTCACGGGACGTGGTGATTGGACACAAACCTCAAGGGCAGACCTTAGCAAAAAAGGTTTTAGGTACCCGTCACAACCTCATTGCCCTTGTTCACACTCAAAACGTGCATGACATGCCATGCATGGCTGGACTTACAACTCTGGCCCCCTAAAAACACCCCTCCAAGAATGTGAGTGTAAGGGAAGTGGGGGCAAAATGGCCCGAGTCGAGTAATGCTTGCCTTAGGGCGAGCAAAAAGTACTCGCCCCGAGTAAAAAAATTACTCGCCTAAAAAACGAGTAAACGAGTCGGGCCCTTGAGAAAAAAGCTCGACTCAAGTATTGCTCGACTCGCCAATAAAGGGAGGCGGGTCATAATTGCTCGATGCAAATTTTACTCGACTCGCCCCGTGCCCATCCCTAATGCGACTCCCTGAGTCCTTTCCGAGCCTGTCCAAGCTGCAGTCGTGCACTCTTGTCAAGCTCGGCGTTTCGTCCTTTCCGGGATGATTTTTGGAAGCTTTATTCTCTCCGGGAACTGGTGCTCTTGGGGCTGAAGCATGTGCGCTGCTTGCCTAAGCCGTTCACTCAGCTGCCTCGGCTGCAGGTGCTGCAGGTGAGCGCCTGCAAGCAGCTGGCTCGGTTGCCGTCTTCTCTCCGCGAAATGGCGACGCTGCGTGAATGCGATATCAGTGGGTGTCCTTTGCTCTCGCGGGGAGGCACTCAGGTGGTTCCTGATCAGGGAGCCGTGGTGAATGGAGTGGAGGGAGGGGGGGAATCGGGCGACGAGGGACAGGAAGTGGAGGAGGGGGAGGTTGATGGAGAGGAAGGGGAAGAGGAAGTGGAAGGGGAAGAGAGGAGGGATGAGGAAGCAGGGATGGAGGAAGAGGGGAGGGAGGAAGGGGGGGGGGGGGTGAGGAAGAGAGGAGGGATGAGGAAGCAGGGACGGAGGAAGAGGGGAGGGAGGAACGAGGGAGGGATGAGGAAGAGAGGAGGGATGTGGAAGAGGGGAGTCGTGACGAAGACGGGGTAAATAAGGAAGACTGGGAGCTGTCAGAGGAAGACAGCAGGGGGGAGGATGGCGACATAGAGCACGAGTATGGCATGGAGAGTGAAGACGACAGGGACGATGAGAGAGGTTGGGAGGGAAGTGAGGACGAGGAGTGAGGTGGTGGAATTTGTGAGAAGTAGAAGGAAGAGAACGTGGATCGCTCGAAGAAAGTTGGGAGAGACGTTGTAGGGTTCAGAAAGAGAGATGGGATCATGGTTGTTATCTCCTTGCGGGTATAGGCTGGATTGTAGTGGCTATGTAGACGCTTGCGAAGCTTTTGAGCTTGGTTTCGGTTTGCGTGTTAGAATTGGTGTGAGGGACCCCATTTGCTGCTTTGGGCGAGATAGACCTCATTCATTGTATGTATTATAAATATATAACAATCTCCCTTTTTCATTGTGTATTCAAGATGACGTCATGCATTACAAGTATTGTAACACATTCTTCAAATATGATTGTAGTAATGGTACTAGCATTGATCACGAGAAGTTGACGAAAAAGTCAATGGTGTCCTTGAGTCCAACAATGAACGCATCGATCTCCTCCGTGGTGTTGTAGATGTATGCACTCGCCCGTGCGCTCGCATTGATGCCGATCCCTTGGTGAATGGGCTGCGCACAGTGGTGTCCACTGCGGATGCCCACTCCGTGCTGGAAAGGACGGGAATGAGGGGCGAGAAGGAGAAAGAAAGGGGGTACAGTGGTGTGCACACTGGGCTTTAACTATTGGGCTGCGCACACTGGTGCCTGCTGGGGATGCCCACTCCGTGCTGGCAAGTACGGGTAATGAGGGACGAGAAGGAGAGAGGGAGGGGACTTTGATGAATGGGCTGCACACAGTGGTGCCTGCAGCAGATGCCCACTCCATGCTGAGAAGACGAGAGCAAAAGGAATAGGGTGGGGGGGTGGGGAATAGAAGGGGAGGAAACGGGATGAAGAAAGAAAGCGGCATTTTTTAGTCGACTCAAAAATCGACTCATTACACAGGGTCGAAATGGTGTGGATTAAGGAAAGGTGTAGGAGTGTCAACGCAGTGTGGCATGGGCAGTGATGTGGGAGGGTAAAGATGGGATCCATAAAGAAGTCCTCAGGGTAATTCAGAAGAGCACCCTTCACTACCTTCTCAATGGAACCTTAAACCCTGAACCCTGAACTCTAAAAGTGGACGCAACTGGTCAGATTGCCATCTGGACACAGCAAGCTGCCAGCATACAATGCAAGCCTGCCGCACCTTGAGAAGCCTGCTCATGCATCCTGCCTGTTGATCTAGGAAGGAAGACACATCCGTGGCATGCATGCCATCCACGCCGAACGTGCAGAGATCATGTTATGAGTCGACTCTTAGGTACCCTATGTTGTTGGTCCAGGAAAGACGACACAACAGTGGCATGCATGCCAAAATACCTCACACACATGCATCCCACCTGTTGGTCCAAGAACCATAGCCACCCTTCCTGTTGGTCGAGGAACGAGGGCCCATCCGTGGCATGCATGCTATCCATGCTGAACGAGCAGAGAGCCACCACTCGCCCCCTGTGTGACCCAGCACTATCATGCCTCACTCTCACCTCACCATGCCTGCTCGTGCATCTCACCTGTTGATCGAGAAAGGAAGACACGTCTGTGGCGTGCATGCCATCCACGCTGAACGTGCAGAGAGCCGCCACTCGGCCCCTGTGGAGGGCGGACGGGCCTCCTGGGAGCAGCGACGGTGGAGGAGGGCCGTAGATGCGCACCCGATCGACGGCTGAGAGCTGCTTGTACAGATACTCTGATAGATGCATCTGGAATTGCACGGGTAGAATGGAAGGGAAGGGCAAGAATGGGGCGCCGATGAACAGGTGCACATCTGTAGCATGAACGTTCGACCATACCTCACATGCATGCATACCCCACAGAAGTGTCCATCGGGTGATGCGTAAACACAACACAAATTGACGAGTGGCCCATGCATACCGCGTAGCCACTGACCCATGCACCATGGCCATTCATACCTCTGATAGCCACACGTACCTCATAATTATGCACGTTATCCATGCCCTTGGCTGTCAAGTAGTCCACCGCTGCTCCCAACCCTATCGCCTCGGCGATGGCTGGGGTGCCAGCTTCAAATCTGGAGGAGCAAGGGTGGGGGAGGGAAGGTAAGATGTGTGATAGGAGTCTAGTTTTGAGGCGCCTCAAAACTGAACCAGGAGGAGCAAGGGTGGGGGAGGGAAGGTAAGATTTGTTGCTTTTACCCTATCCAGCTCCCAACCCTATCGCCTCGGCGATGGCTGTCAAAAGGCCCTCTAACTTGCTTGTTTGTTTACTTGCTTGCCTTTCTTCTGTATTTTCTCCGGAATTCCTATTGCCTTATGGTTTGGTGTTTCTATCTGTGGCGGTACACGATCCTGCTAGCTTTCCACATGTGGACTTAAAAACGGAACAGCTCTTAGAGGGTTCGCAAGCAAGCTTGAGAAGTGACGACAGGACCGGCATACCTGGCAGGCGGGTCTGAATAGGTGGAGTGGTCCAGAAACACGTCCTGAATCATCTCGCCCCCGCCTGAGGGAGGAAACGGGGTGGGGAGGGGGAGGGGGAGGGGGTGGGGGGGGTGGGGGTTAGTGGGGGGTTGGAAAGGGTCTGAATAGGTGGAGTGGTCCAGGAGCACGTCTCGACTCCGCCTGAGGGAGGAACCGGGGTGAGGGATGAAAGGGGGGTTGGGGTTAGAAGGGGCTTGGGGTGAGAGGGGGGTTGGGTTTCCAGGGGGGTTGGGGTTAGAAGGGGCTTGGGGTTAGAGTGGGGGAGGGAAAGGTGAGATAGGCGCCAAAGGGGGGAACGGGAGAGGTGAGATAGGCGCCAAAGGGGTCGGTGAGGGAGGGGAGAGGTGAGATAGGCGCCAAACGGGTCGGTGAGGGAGGGGAGAGGTGAGATAGGCGCCAAAGGGGTCGGTGAGGGAGGGGAGAGGTGAGATAGGCGCCAAACGGGTCGGTGAGGGAGGGGAGAGGTGAGATAGGCGCCAAAGGGGTCGGTGAGGGAGGGGAGAGGTGAGATAGGCGCCAAAGGGGTTGGTGAGGGAGGGGAGAGGTGAGATAGGCGCCAAAGGGGTCGGTGAGGGAGGGGAGAGGTGAGATAGGCGCCAAAGGGGTCGGTGAGGGAGGGGAGAGGTGAGATAGGCGCCAAAGGGGTCGGTGAGGGAGGGGAGAAGTGAGATAGGCGCCAAAGGGGTCGGTGAGGGAGGGGAGAGGTGAGATAGGCGCCAAAGGGGTCGGTGAGGGAGGGGAGAGGTGAGATAGGCGCCAAACGGGTCGGTGAGGGAGGGGAGAGGTGAGATAGGCGCCAAACGGGTCGGTGAGGGAGGGGAGAGGTGAGATAGGCGCCAAAGGGGTCGGTGAGGGAGGGGAGAGGTGAGATAGGCGCCAAAGGGGTTGGTGAGGGAGGGGAGAGGTGAGATAGGCGCCAAAGGGGTCGGTGAGGGAGGGGAGAGGTGAGATAGGCGCCAAAGGGGTCGGTGAGGGAGGGGAGAGGTGAGATAGGAGCCAAAGGGGTTGGTGAGGGAGGGGAGAGGTGAGATAGGCGCCAAAGGGGTCGGTGAGGGAGGGGAGAGGTGAGATAGGCGCCAAAGGGGTTGGTGAGGGAGGGGAGAGGTGAGATAGGCGCCAAAGGGGTTGGTGAGGGAGGGGAGAGGTGAGATAGGCGCCAAAGGGGTCGGTGAGGGAGGGGAGAGGTGAGATAGGCGCCAAAGGGGTCGGTGAGGGAGGGGAGAGGTGAGATAGGCGCCAAAGGGGTCGGTGAGGGAGGGGAGAGGTGAGATAGGCGCCAAAGGGGTCGGTGAGGGAGGGGAAAGGTGAGGACGCTGCTGCTCGTCTCGATCATGACTAACGACAACAGGGGAAAGGGGAGCAAATGAAGCACAGAACAGAACAGAGAAGGGTGAGAGATTCTTGAAAAAGAGAGACAGGGGGCGGCGCAAAGCAGGAAAGGGGGGACATGCAGAATGGGATTGACAGCTAAGTCTATTTTAGAGGAGCCTCAAAAGCAGAGCCCTGCAACTATAATTACTGGCTCAACAAGGCATGCTCATGTCGTGGTGGGAACCTCGGCATTTAACCTCGGCATTAAAATCGACTCAAAAGCAGAGGGGGCACTTACCCATCACCTGAGGCAAGGGGCACAAGCGCATACAAAGAGGCATGAAGGCACTTGCCCGAAATAAACTCATAGAGGAGCTTTCTGAAGGCAAGGTCTTTTCAAGCTACTGATCATTCTCAGCGGTTAACGACGTATTTTAATTTCGGTTCCTCAGGCTTCTAACGCTTTTTTTTTACTGCTGCCCGTCCACTACGAGCGAGGACTCTGCGGAGGCGCACTTACCCATGAATGGTGGTATAGGGGCGAGCACATCGGAACCCGAACCTCGCGGGGTCACACATCTTGTGGGAGGAAGAATTCACCGATGCATGACATGATCGGACGCACATACCCATCCACGGAGGCATCGAGGCGAGCACGTCGGATCGCCCATAGCGGAACCTGATGCCCGTGGGGCCACACATCTTGTGCGAGGAGACAGCAGTAAAGTCAACCCAAACCCCTTGGAAGCAGCACATATGCGAAGAAGGACACACGCACCCATCCACTGCGGCATGGAGGCGAGCACGTCAGCTCGCCTGTAGAGGAACCCGATGCCTGTGGGGCCACACGTCTTGTGGGGGGAAGCAGTCCCCCATACATACACGAAAGGACGCACTTACCCATCCACGGAGGCATGGCGGCGAGCACGTCGGATCGCCCATAGAGGAACCCGATGCCCGTGGAGCCACACATCTTGTGCGAGGAGACGGCAGCGAAGTCAACCCAAACCCCATGGCAATGGCAAGAACACATGTGGGAGGAGGACGCACATACCCATCCAAGGAGGCATGGACGCGAGCACGTCGGACCGGCCATAGAGGAACCCAATCCCTGTGGGGTCACACATCTTGTGCAAGGAGACGGCATGTGCCATGGCAGGACAACGGACACATACCCATCCAGGGAGGCATCGAGGCGAGCACGTCCGATCGCCCATAGAGGAACCCGATGCCCGTGGGGCCACACATCTTGTGGGAGGAGACCGCAGCGAAGTCAACCCCCAGCTGTTGCACATCGACCGGCATGTGCGGCACGGACTGGCATGCGTCTAGCAGCACCTTTGCTCCCACTGCATGTGCTCTCTCACGGATCAGCTCCACTGGAGATTCTGAGCCTGAAAATGGGGGAAGGAGGGGTGAATGGGAAGCGGGGAGGAATGCAAGTAAGGCGGGATGCAAAGGCCCCCAGCGGCTGCACATCTACCGGAATGTTCGGCACGGACTGGCATGCGTCCAAAAGCACTTTCGCTCCCACTGCGTGTGCTCTCTTCCTTCTCTGCTCCACAGGGAACTCCGAGTCTGAGGGATCACTCGTCACTCACCAAGCACGTTGGACACACGATGCACCGGCACCACCAGCTTCGTCCTACCCCCAATCAGCTGTAGAAGCCGCTCATAGTCCACCTCCGCCCCTCCCTCCCTGCATTTTGAGTCGACTCAAAAGCCCCCCCATGCCCCTCCCTGTCCGACTGCTCTTGAGTCGACTCAAAAGCAGGTCAATCACTCACCCAGCACGTTGGACACACGATGCACCGCCACCAGCTACGTTCTCCCTCGAATGAGGAGCGGCACCCCTTGGCACCCCTTGACACCCATCGCTCGTCACTCACCTAGTACGTTGGACACCTGGTGCACCGCCACCAGCTTCGTCCTCCCCCCAATCATCTCCAGCAGCCGCTCATAGTCCACCTCCGCCCCCCCCGCATGCCCCTCCCTCTCCGACTCCTCAGGCACTTTCAGCGGGGCAAACTTCAGAACCGCCCCGGTTTTCTGGGCTACGAGCTGCCAGGGGACGATGTTGCTGTGGTGCTCGGCGACTGTGAGGAGAACCTCGTCGCCTGGGGCGAGGTTGGAGAGGCCCCAGGAGTATGCGACCAGGTTGATGGCCTCGCTGGCGTTGCGCGTGAAGACGATCTCCGAGGGGCCCTCTGCCGTGTTGATGAAACGAGCTACCTTCTCCCGCGCCTTCTCGTACTCCTCTGTTGCCAGCATGCTGGGGAAGGGGGAGTTGAAGGAGAGGGGGAGGGGAAGGGGATGCAGGTTGATTGCCTCTCTGGCATTGCGCGTGAAGACGATCTCCGAGGGGCCCTCTGCCGTGTTGATGAAACGAGCTACCTTCTCCCGTGCCTTCTCGTACTCCTCTGTCGCCAGCATGCTGTATCAAAGGGGAGTTGGGGGGGGGAGAGGGAAGGGGGTTCAAGTTGACTGCCTCGCTGGCGTTGCATGTGAAGACAATTTCAGTGGGGTCCTGCTAAAGGGGGGGAGCAAGAAAGGAGGAGGAAGCCGGAAAGAACGGTACGTGGGGGCCAGAATGTGGTGGTGCGGAGGAGAGAGGAGGCGGGGCGGGAGAGGGGGGAGAGCTGGGGTTAAGCAGGGATTGGGAGAAAGAACGTGTGAAGGCAATCTAAGAAAGGTGCTCAGCGGTGTTGACGCATGCACCACAGCAGGTCACATACACGTTATAAGCTCACCTGAGATAGTGCACACCACGGTGCACATTGGCATTGTATCGGCGGTAATAGTCATCCATGGCGTTGATCACATGCAGTGGCTTCTGTGACGTCGCCGCACTGTCTAGGTACACCAACTGCTGGCCGCCTGGCACCTCCTGTAGCGCAACAGACATGTGAGACAGAATGGATAAACAGGTTGAGAAGCGAGGTTACACCTGCAGGTGCTTCTGTGATGCCGCCGCACTGTCCAGATACACCATTGCCTGGCCTCCTGGGACCTGCTGCCGCACGGCATATGCAGAGAAGGAAAGAGCAGCGTTGCATCAACGCCATGCTGTGGCTTCTGCAATGTCGCTGCCTTGTCTAGGTACACCAACTGCTGGCCACCTGGCACCTCCTGCAGCGCAACAGACATGTGAGATGGCGAGGCGATGGATGAATTGAGAAGCGAGGTAACACCTGCAGGTGCTTCTGCCATGACGCTGCCGTGCCGAAATGCACCAATTGATGGCCGCCTGGCAACTCATGTTGCACGACAGACATGGAGACAGATAGTGGTGGCAAAATTGTAGGAAGTGTAGCATTAATCTCTCGCAGTTGCTTCTACAATGTCGCTGCACCATCCAACACATCAGAGGCTAGCCGGCTGGAACTGTCGGTTCCTGGCGAGAGACAAGAGATACGGCGTAATCTCATCAACATAAGAATTGTGTATGACGTGATTCCAAGTTGTAGAAGTGTATTTTGCACGTTCGAGAACTACCTGATGCAGAATCGGGAAATCGTCGCGAACCGCCTTCCCTAGTCCTGTCGCATCTGCCATCGCTGCACTCGCAGCATCCGTCGCATCCGTCGCATCACGCGCCGACACCGACGCCTCCACGGCCCGACTGGTCCGTCGATCAACCACCCCATGCGCTCTCCGTGACCCGCGAGGACTGCACCCGCTGCCGCCGCTAACTATCAGTCGCCTCGAGCCGCTGAAAGCATTAAGCCTAGGCGAGAAAAAGGTGGTCCTGAGAGCCTTTGCTGCTGAGGCTACTGGTGTTGCCGGTTTCATTGCTGACGTGGCATGTCTAAGAGGTAAGCGAGCGGAAGAAGCGCCAATGAGAGCCATGTTTGAGAGACGTCAGGAATTCGGAGGATAACGTGTAGCGCGGGAAAACCGGGTGTGGTACTGAACGATAGATGCGAATGGAGGGAGCTATGGACGAGACAAGCTACTCGGGTGAAAGGGAAAACCGAAACACGATGCTGGCTAGCAAGTAGTGTACGGCCGTCGACACGCCCTATCTTAGGAGCGAGAACAGATTCGGCAGCGTGCGAGGCGGACCGACGTGAATCGCACGACAGCAGAAAGAGGCGGAGGAGCAGAGGAATGGACGAGAAAATAAAGCCAGCGGCGAATTCACAAAGAAGCAACGGGCACTGAGCTGAATGAAGGCTGCTTGTTCCGCGGTTCAGTGAATGTGGTCGTTTGGTTTGGATGCTTGCTTGTTGGGAGCAGGAGCAGGGTGCATGGCCGGCTCTGAATGGCCGCCTCGATTCCTCCACCCACCTGCCAGGCGAGTGCACGCACTCACCGACAGCACGCTGACGTGGCTAACAAAGGGATTCTCCCAAGGAACCAGAACCTCTTTAGAAGCTGTCCATTAGTATCTATATTTAGAATGCTATTTGAACCCTTTCCAATTAGTGAGGTAATATGGTATACTTGTAAATTTACTCCCATGACTGGGTTCTATATTTATTTGAAATAATTAATAAAAACCAAGATGCCTATTATTTCATATAAAATGAGCATTTTGTTGTTACGTTGGATTTTTAATAGAACCGTATGCTACATTTGAAAGATAATAATATTTTTTTAGAGTTATTTTTACTCATTTGTGATATTTGTTTTGTTGATTTTGCTATTTGGTTTAGCTCATTAGAGTGGCTTCTACGTATATCTCAATGTCTTAGTTCTGTACTCTACCGTCACGGTGCTGTACTTGCAATCGGGGTCAATACAAACGCCGAGCTTTACCAGCCTACCCCTTCACGCGCAGAAGGGACATTCCAACTTGATCTCCATGTGCTTTTTGCCGCATCACATCCTATCTGCCTGACTAACACCTTCAGATGATCACATTACACCACCACACCACAACACTAGATATTAGACACTCCGCACTGCACTCTCCTCCCACTATTCCAGCTTCCTAATCCTAGATATTGCCCCACAGTTAGCCTTACAGGCGATTCCCCTCATTGAGTGTCACTCACGATCGTGCGCTGCCATTTGAATGCGCCGCAATGCAATCTGCAATGCGATCCTGCTGCCATGCTGCACCGCGCGCCCCGGCCCTCGGGAATGACGGGCACACAATGCGTCGCTTTGACCATGCCGCCTTACCAGGTAGAGACACAGGGAGAGCAGCAGCAGCAGCAGCAGCGGCAGCAGCAGCAGCTCGGCCGTTTCGAGTCATCTCCGCGAGGCTGCCAAAAGCTTTTGTGAGGACTCAGAACACAAGGCTAGCAGCAAGACCGTCGCTTGCGGGGAGGTCGCGATTGGCGGAGACCGCGCGACCCGCTGCTCCTGGTGCGCGAGTCAAGGCGCAGGCTTCCGCACGGCGGAGCGGAGACGGCGGCGGGGGTAGCGACGGGAGGGGGAGCGGAGGCGGCGGGGGCGGCGGAGGAGGAGGGGGGGATGGAGGCGGAGGGGGAGGAAAGGATAGCGGAGACGGCGGGGATTGCGGAGGCGAAGGTGGTAACCAGCGGGAATGTGGTTACTTATTTCTTATGAAGCTGTTTTCCGATTGGTTAAACGCCCGTGCTTCTGCCCTCTCTCCTCTCCTCCACAACCGCCTAAGCCCTTTCCCCAGCGCATTATCACTCTCCGCATTCCTCCTTATCACGCTCCCCCTGCTCCTCTCCCCGCTCGCCCGCGCGGAATCCGCGCTTCTCCGCCGCCCTGCGCCTCCCCTTGGGGCTTCCGCGCCCGCCAGTGATCAGGAGGTGATCTGGGAGCTGCATGGTGACAGGTGGCGGCGCCTGATTGGCGGAGACAGCAGCAGTGCAGGCAGCAGCGGGGGGAAGGACCAGCTAGTAGTGGAAGTTGAAGTGGAGGGTGAGGAAGCTGCTAACGCGTACGAGGAGGAACACGGACGCGTTATAGAGGGGATCGTTACAGGCACTGGGGACGCCAAGGGGAAGGGTTCAGGAGTTAGGGTTTTAGAGGGGGGGGAGGAGCAGAGCAGGGGGAGGGATATGGTGGCGCGCGCGGTGAGGGGAGTGAAAGCGGCGGTGGGGCGGTGGATGTTACCAGAGGGTTATCCGGATAGTGTGACGCCTGACTATATGGAGTACACACTGTGGCGCATGCGGCAAACAGTGGCGAGTGAAATGAACCACGTGCTTACAACGCAGGTGAGAGAAGGTGCTTGCTACGCAGGTGAGAGGGGATGCTTCTAACCGCGAGGTTTGCACGCACTTCCTCGCCTTCCACCTCAACAGCTCCATGCATGCTCTCCTCCTTCCCTTCCCCGCTCTCCCCCTCACACTGCAGCCTCTCTCTTCCCACCCCGGCACAGACGATGCTGTATGCCGGCTAGGCAAGGACAGCATACAGCATAGCCTTGCCCATCCCGGCAGCAGCAGCCATCAACTGCTGCCAACGTCCCTCTCTCCCTCTTCGAATCGTTCTGCTCTTTCTTATCCCTCTCCTCTGCAGGCAATGCTGTATGCAGTAGGCCTCGGTGAAGGCGCCATTCCAGGAGCAGCGGCCGTCAACTGGGTGCTCAAAGACGGCCTGGGCTACGCAGCCAAGGCCACTGTTTTCTAGTTCAGCCTAAACACCTTCTTGCTCTCTCCTCTCCCTCTCGCCAAGCAGGCAATGCTGTATGCAGTGGGGCTTGGGAAGGGCGCCATTCCAGCAGCGGCGGCGGTCAACTGGGTGCTCAAGGACGGCTTAGGCTACGCAGCCAAGGTCACTCTCTCGCAATTCGGCCGCCGCTTCGACGTGTCGCCCAAGCGCTGGCGCCTGCTGGCTGACCTCGGGGAGAACCTCTCCGCCTCCCTCGAGCTCCTCACTGCCACCTTCCCGCAGTACTTCGTCCAGCTGGCCGCTGCAGCCGGGGCAGGGTTTTCTGCGTCGAGTCTTGTGCAAAGCGCCACGAGGAATCGGTTTTATGCCGGGCTGGCAGGCAGAAGAAACTTCGCAGAGGTGAGATGCCGCCCTTCCTTGGACAGGTGATAACCAGTTCGGGCAGGTGAGAGCTGGTGCAGGCAGGTGGGCGAGGATAGGGTATCGCTTCCCTCGAGCTCCTCTCTGCCGCCTTCCCGCAGTACTTCGTCCAACTGGCCGCCGCGGCCCGGGCGAGGCTTTCGTCGTCGAGCCTTGTGCAAAGAGCCATGCAGAATAGGTTTTACGCTGGGCCGGCGCGAGCAGAAGAAACTGTGTCAAGGCGAGATGCAGAGCACGCATGACTTGTGGGTGTTTGTCCCTCTTGGGGATGGCTCCTTGGGGATGGCTCAAGGATGGGTGGGAAAGAGTCTAGGTGTGGCCATTGGAGTTGCCCCGCTTGGTCATAGGGTCCAATGTCTTAACTCTTTGACATTTCTTCCCCCTTGTCCGCAACCGCCCCATCCCCCCTCTCCTCAGGGGCTCGCACAAGCAGAGGCGCAGGGCATGGTGAGCAAGACAGTAGAAATGGCCCTTGGCATTGCCATCGCTCCTCTTGTGACTTCACTCTGTTTCCTTCCTTTTCCTCCTACCCAGGTGCTCGCTCGAGCAGAGGCACAGGGCATAGCGAGCAAGACGCTAGGGCATGGCTCTAGGCATTGCCATCGCACTGCATATGCCACTTTTCCTCCCCTTTTCTTCCCCCTTTCCTCCCCTTTTCTTCCCCTTTTCTTCCCCTTTTCTTCCCCTTTTTCTTCCCCTTTTCCGCTACCCTTTTCCCCAGGTTCTGGCACGAGCAGAGGCGCAGAGCATGGTGAGCAAGACGCTGGCCATGGCCCTTGGGGTGTCTTCTGCACCACTTTTGACTACCCTCCCCTCTGCACCCTTTCTCGCCCCTCATGTACCTTCAGGTGCTTGCTAGGGCAGAGGCGCAGGGCATGGTGAGCAAGACACTGGGCATGGCCCTTGGGATTGCCATCGCACCGCATGTGGGCACCAAGGGGCCGCTGCTCTGGCTGACGCACATCCTGCTCTCGGCCTCCCACCTCTACTGCAACTACCGCTCCTATAAAGCTGTGCAGCTGCGCACCTTGAACCCCTTCAGAGCGGGTAAGCACCACTGACATCACACTGGGCCACTGGCCTTGATGCACATCGGTGCTTTCCGCCTCCCAGCTCTACTGCAACTACTGCTCTTGCAAGGCCGTGCAGCTGCGCACCTTGAACCCCTTCAGAGCGGGTAAGCCGTGTCAGGGGGCGCAGGTGTAAGCATGTGGGCTCTTTGGGATCCCTGCTGTGGTAATCTCCTGCTCTCCTCCTCCCACCTCTACTGCAACCACCGCTCCTAAAAGGCCGTGCAGCTGCGCACCTTGAACCCTTTCTGGGCAGGTAAGCAGCAAGAGCATCACAGATGCAACCTAAAATGCTCCTATCTGCCTTGATGCACTCAAGTGTTCTCCTCCAACCAACCACCTCTACTACGACTACCCCTCCTACAAGACCGTTCAGCTGCAATTCTTTTCTGTCGTCAGTGCCTGTAAACCTTGTTAACCTTCCAACACAAATATTTGACTATCTTTCCTGTTGTTGCTTGACTGTGTCTCCTAATGCTGTTTCCCTCTCAGCTGCTTCTTCCTATGTCCTCCCCCCCCCCCCCTCCCCCCACTTCCCTCCTATGCCTGTTCCCAGATATCGTCCTGGCCGAGTACGCGACCAATGGCAGAGTGCCAGGTGTCATCGCAGTGAACTCCCAAGAACCCATTTTGCCACCCATCTCCCTCAAAACCATCTTCTCGCCCAAGGTACATGTGGAGAATGTGGGGTACGTGTGGGATACATGGGTACATGTGGTGTGGGATACTACGTGTGGGATACATGGGTACATGTGGTGTGGGATACTACGTGTGGGATACATGGGTACATGTGGTGTGGGATACTACGTGTGGGATACATGGGTACATGTGGTGTGGGATACTACGTGTGGGATACATGGGTACATGTGGTGTGGGATACTACGTGTGGGATACATGGGTACATGTGGTGTGGGATACTACGTGTGGGATACATGGGTACATGTGGTGTGGGATACTACATGTGGGATACATGGGTACATGTGGTGTGGGATACTACGTGTGGGATACATGGGTACATGTGGTGTGGGATACTACATGTGGAGTATATGGGGTACACGTGGGGTCCATGTGGGGTACACACCTTAATGGTACACACCTTAATGGTACACACCTTAACGGTACACACCTCTTAAAGCACGTGGCCCAAGAAAGACCCAGATTCAAAGTCTTTGATTCTTGGTCGGGTTAGCGAAATTCGCCAGGGTACAGCGGAACAGACGAAGCCACAGGAGAGGGACGAAAGGACCAGGCGTCGCCAGCGAGGGCAGAGCCACGCTTGGCGACGAGAGAAAGCACGGAGTGGCAGCACGGAAAGGGGCGTGTTCAAAGGACGAACCAAACGCTCCTCAAATTGATATCGGGTTCGACGGACCAACCACGTAAGGCATAAACCGCGTGCGAAAAATACCCATTTCCCGAAACCAAAATTGAGACGGAACAGTCCCGAACGCGTCCCGCCCTGAACCTGCTCTGACCGTGTAACACTTTGTATGGATAATACGCTAATCTTATAACACAGCAATTTCCCTAACCCAGTACGTGGTATAACAACGCAACAAAATAGGAATCAAACAATATAATATTTTAGCAGCACCCAGATTACAACACGCTGTGTCGAGTAGTATGCAAAACACAGGAATAACAAAAACTACACAAGGTGTTTAGTTCTAGGGCGTATATAGACAGTACTCATTTGCACGCCGAGGACAGCCCTAAGGTCCTGCCCCCTGACTCGACATCCTTGCCCTGTACAGTCACAAGGTGAAGGGGGAAAGAAGGCGAGCAGGTGGGGGGAAGGTAAGCAAGGGGCGTGATGAAAACGGGGGGAGGATGAGACGGGCGAGGGGAAAGAGACGGGGAGCTGAGGGGAGAAGAGGCAGAGGAGAGGCAGAGGAGGGCGGACAGAGAGGGGGAGCTGAGGCTGTGGGAGCCAGGGTCTGGAATGAACACCAGGAGATGCCAGAGGCGCCAGGGTGGGAGAAGGGGTTGAGAATGCCCGCAGAGGACTAGCGACGGGGAAGGGACCTGCCAAGGGGTTCCCCCCTGCGACGGGGAGAGAGCGGGGCAGCTGAGGGATAGAGAGGGGGACCTGGGTGGAACGAGGGGGTGCTGAGGGGTATGGACTCACAACGGTTACAGAGAGGGGGTGCTGAGAGGAAACACAGGGGGAAACGGAGGGAGGACAGGGGGAAGGGAGAGGAGGATAGGGGAAAGGGAGAGGAGGATAGGGGGAAAGGGAGAGGAGGATAGGGGGAAAGGGAGAGGAGGATAGGGGGAAAGGGAGAGGAGGATAGGGGAAAGGGAGAGGAGGATAGGGGGAAAGGGAGAGGAGGATAGGGGAAAGGGAGAGGAGGATAGGGGGAAAGGGAGAGGAGGATAGGGGGAAAGGGAGAGGAGGATAGGGGGAAAGGGAGAGGAGGATAGGGGGAAAGGGAGAGGAGGATAGGGGGAAAGGGAGAGGAGGATAGGGGGAAAGGGAGAGGAGGATAGGGGGAAAGGGAGAGGAGGATAGGGGGAAAGGGAGAGGAGGATAGGGGGAAAGGGAGAGGAGGATAGGGGAAAGGGAGAGGAGGATAGGGGGAAAGGGAGAGGAGGACAGGGGGAAGGGAGAGGAGGACAGGGGGGAAGGGAGAGGAGGACAGGGGGAAACTCTGAGGAGGCTGGAGGAAAAGGGAGGGGGAGCAGAGGGGAAAGAGAGGGGGAGCTGAAGGGGATGAGAGGGGAAACTGGGGGGAAGGAGAGGGGGGATTGAAGACGGGTCGAGCGGGAGAGGAGGAGACTTCTCGCTATTCCCTCATACCAGCGCCTACCCATTCCTTCCCCCTGCGCCTATCCATCGCTGCCCCCCCCACGCCTATCCATCGCTTCACGGCGGACTAGGAAAGAGCGAAAGGAAAGGAACGTGGAGGATAGGGGGAAAGGGAAATACCAACGTGGGGGAGGGTGAAGTGTCGACGAGGGGGGGGGGAGAAGCGCGACGAATGGAGGGAGAAGCGCGACGACGGCAAGGGAGAAGTACGGAAGAGCGGAAAAAAAAGGACTGACGAGGGGAGGGAGAAGGCCCGCCGAGGGGGCTGGTGAAGTACTGACGTGGGGGAGGGAGAAGGCCCGCCGAGGGGGCTGGTGAAGTACTGACGTGGGGGAGGGAGAAGGCCCGCCGAGGGGGCTGGTGAAGTACTGACGTGGGGGAGGGAGAAGGCCCGCCGAGGGGGCTGGTGAAGTACTGACGTGGGGGAGGGAGAAGTACCCATGAGGGTAGGGAAGAAGGGCGACGAGGGGGAGGGAGAGGCTCGACGGAAGAGAGAGAGAATTGCCCTGGGAAGAGAAGCGCGAAGGGAGAGAGAGTGTGCGACGGAGGTGAGAGATGCGACGGGACCTTGCGTCAGTGACGGGAGAGAGAGTATCGATGGCGTAACAGGAATCGACAGGGAGGGTGAGTAAGCGCGCGTCCCCCGCGATTAGGGCTCGGGATTCGAGAGTGATGGGAACCCACCGTTGCTCGCAGAAGTGACTTTTGAGTCGACTCAAAAGTCCCCCCGCGATTAGGGCTCGGGGTTCGAGAGTGATGGGAACCCACCGTTGCTCGCAGAAAGTGACTTTTGAGTCGACTCAAAAGTCCCCCCGCGATTAGGGCTCAGGGTTTGAGAGTGATGGGAACCCACCGTTGCTCGCAGAAGTGACTTTTGAGTCGACTCAAAAGTCCCCCCGCGATTAGGGCTCGGGGTTCGAGAGTGATGGGAACCCACCGTTGCTCGCAGAACCGTCGAGACCCGATATAAGGGGGTGTCCGCTGCGCTGCTGCTATGCGCCGTCGCCTCTTCTCCCAACGCCTATCTGATATGGTGCTGCCAATTATCGGAGGCCACTCAGCGGTTCCACTGCTAGATCCCTAAACTAGCTCGACTCTAGTCATTATTGGCTACGCTGGTGGAAAGGTTCCACGCGCCCTGCTGGCGCCATGGACGGTAGTCCCAAGAAACCAGACATTATGGATCTTGGTTTTGCCAGGTGAGTAAGTTTGTGGAGTGGGGGACTCGCTCGTCTATTTTTGAGGCGCCTCAAAAATAGTTTGTGGAGTGGGGGACTCGCTCGTCGTCGCACGCTCTGGTGTGGGAAAAGCTTAGCCAATCCCTTCACGTCGTAGGAGGATTCCACCCCTTCGCAGACTTTTGGTGGTAACCCTGTATATTTTGGTTGGTTTGGCGAAGGATCAAGACTCAGAATCTTTGATTCTTGGTCTTTCTTGGGCCACGCGCTTCAATGGCACATACATGGGTGGTGCATGGTGGCACACGCAAGTGCGAGGTGTGTTGATTACATGCAAGTGCGAGGCTTGTTGATTACATGCAAGTGCGAGGCTTGTTGATTACATGCAAGTGCGAGGCTTGTTGATAACATGCGTGCGAGCCTTGGCAGCACTGGCTCTTGGTATGTCTCATCGCCCCCCCTCTCCTCTCCCCTTCCCTCTCCTCTCTTCCCTTCTCTCTCTCTCTCCCATCCCAGGCATCACGTGGACCTCTCCCAGGCACAGGCAGCGAGTTTTGGATCGAGTTCGGAGTGCTCTTGGCAGGAGTGGTGCATGCGGAGAACTGACCTATTCTCTTTCCCCCCACCCTTTCCCCCTCTCCTCCCTTATCCAAGGCCTCTCCCCCGCCCCTTCCTGGCACGGGCTGCGAGTCTTGGATCGAGTTCGGAGCTCTGGTTCTTGACACGACTCAGTACCCTCTCCCTTCTCCCTCCCTTTTTCCTTCTACCTATTTCCTCAAAACTAGACTCCCTTCTCCCTCCCTTGTCCCTTCTACCTATTCCCTTCTCCTGCCGACTCCCTCTCTCTCCTTTTCCAGGCCTCTCCCCCGCCCCTCCCAGGCACGGGCAGCGAGTCTTGCATCAATTTCGGAGTGCCCTTGGCCACAGTGGCGCACACAGAGGGTCTCAAACCCCCCCTCCCACCCCCCACCCTGTGCCCCTTCCACCCCCCCCCTCCCACCCCCCACCCTGTCCCCCTGACCATTCCAGGCATCACCCCCGCCCCTCCCAGGCACGGGCAGCGAGTCTTGGATCGAGTTCGGAGTGCCCTTGGCCGCAGTGGCGCACACAGAGAGGGAGGCCGAGGCGATGGCTGAGATGTTTCGAGCGGAGAAGTATCTACTGGGAAGGGACGAGAGAACGGGGCAGATGCAGGTGCGTGCTCTGTGCTTGTGGCTAGGATTGAGGGGGGAACAAGGGCGAGTGCGTCTGTGTGTGTGGAAGAGAGAGGCCGAGGAAATGGCTGACATGTTTCGAGGGGAGAAGTACCTGCTGAGAAGGGACGAGAGAACGGGGCAGATGCAGGTGCGTGCATTTCCATTGAGTAGGTGCCTTGGGGGAAAAGAGGGATGGGCAGGAGGGGGGAAGGAAAGGGAGGGGTGGGTTTGGTGAAGGGTACAGTAGCGCGCATAGAGAGCGAGGCAGAGGCCATGGCTGACGTGTTCCGAGGGGAGAAGTATCTGCTGGGAAGGGACGAGAGAACCGGGCAGATGCAGGTGCGTGTTGCCTCTATGTGTAAGTGAATGAGGGGGAGGCAGAGGCCATGGGGGAGATGTTTCGAGGGGACAAGTACCTTGGCCATGGTACCTGTTTCGAAGCAGGACAAGTACCTGCTGGGAAGGGATGAGAGAACAGGGAAGTTGCAGGTGATTGGGATCTAAACCTCTAACCCACTTCCTTCCCCTCTCAATACACCCATCATTTCCTACAGTCACTTAACCCACATATCCTCCGTGTCCCAACTCTCTCACCCACTCCGCTTGAGCTACGAGGGCCTCCTATCCTACTGCCTTTAAGTTCTAGCCCCATGTGGGTTCTCTCCTCGTCCCAGCTCTCTCCTGGTCCCAGCTCTCTCACCTACCCAGGTTGAGCTATGAGGGCCCCCTACGGTCTCTAATCGCATGTGGATTCCTTCATTGCCTCCAACTCCCTCACCCACCATTCCCAGGTTGTGTTGAAAGAGGCAGCCCTCCGCCGCGATTTCCTCCTGTCTCTAACCCTTCGTATCTCCTCGTCCTTACTTTCTCACCCACCATGCCCAGGTGGTGCTGAAAGAAGGCGCCCTCCCCCGCGATTTCCTCCGGGCTGCCCTACAAGCAGCGTACCTCCGCACACTCTCCCCCCACTCCCTCTGCCTCACCATCCACTCGCTCCCGGCCCACGCACGCACACACGTCCAGGCGCGTGCAGCCGCCTTTGCATCCTCTGGCAAACTGGAGGTGCTCCATGTGTCGTATGATCGCATGGCTGCGGGGTTTGATGGGCTCTGTGAGGCTTTGAGGGCAAGTGGGTGGCGGTGCGACGATGGGCTGCTGGCTAGACCTGGGGACTGGAGGCTGCTGACGGCGTCAGCAGACAAGAAGAGATGAGGGTGTGGTGTGGGGTGTGCTGCGTGGGGGCATGTTTTCATGGCAAACAGGGGATGCTGTGATCATGTAGCATCTGCACTGCATCTGCTGGTAGACTGGAGGTGCTCCATGTGTCGTATGATCGCATGGCTGCGGGGTTTGACGGTCTATGTGAGGCTTTAAGGGCCAGTGGGTGGCGCTGCGACGATGGGCTGCTGGCTAGACCTGGGGACTGAGGCTGCTGACACTGACAGCGTCAGCCGACAAGAAGAGTTGAGGGTGTGGTGTGCGATGTTCCACATGGCAGCATGAGTGCGTGGCAAGGGGACGCATGCCTGCTGCAGGCTCTGTGGAGGTGCCTTGTGGCGAGAGTGTGTTTGCCATGAGTGACATGCATGGGATGGGAGGTGTAGCGCTACCATGGGAAGATTCCTAATGCACCAGAATACGAGTTTGAGATAGCTCGTAGAAAACGAACGAACTTTCTTCCAGTCTCGCCTTTTGTCGTTGATGTTGCCTCGTCATATTCAAGGTGTGAAATGCTATGAGCCAACTGTCAATATATATTATATATATATATATGTGTGTATTAGGCTAGGTAGGTTTACTGCATATCCTGGATCCTACTGTAGAGGGTACAACCCCCTTGTACCCGTCACTTCTAGTCCATCACTCTCTCTACATTTTCTCCTGGCCTAAAACCGCACTACTTTCCTCTGCCTAGCTCCTAACCTAGCTTCTTGACACCAAGGGGTACATAGTAGACTATATGAACAGATAATACATCTTACATATGTGTTCATTTATTTCACACTATTACCTTCACATTCTGCATGGCATAGCCACTATGACTTCTGCTGTCTTACTGGACTCGACACGAGATTTGACACGAGACTTGACACGCATCCTAATCTATTCTTAGAAGTCCTCATTCCGACCCACAGCTCAGATCAAGCGAGCCGAGGTGTGGTGGGTGGGTGGTGGTGGCTCTTCCGAAAGCACCACCATGTGTCAATGTCATCATGTCAAGTCACCCTCTCACCCCCGAGCCTTCTGCGGCAGGTGCGGCAGGTGCAGCAGGTGCGGCAGGTGCAGCAGGTGCGGCAGGAGCGGCAGGTGCGGCAGGTTTGGTGGGTTGAAGGTAGAACTGGTTGCGGTGTGGGATGGAAATGGCGGCATCAATGTTGTCAGGCAGGCCTCGGTGGCGGCCCAGCAGCATCACCAGCACCAGCACCAGCTTGGACCACGGGCTCCACACACCTGCGGGGAGGAGCGGGAGGAGCGGGGGGGGGAGCGGGGGGAGCGGGGGGAGCGGGGGGAGCGGGGGGAGCGGGGGGAGCGGGGGGAGCGGGGGGAGCGGGAGGAGCGAGGGGAGCGGGGGGAACAGGGGGAGCGGGGGGAACAGGGGGAGCAGGGGGAGCGGGAGGAGCAGGAGAAGGGCAAAGAAGAGAATTGAAACCTTACTGCATCGTTAGTATGCAGGCACGGGTGCACGTCTCCATGCATGTCATACACCTGATCAAGCACACACCTGGATGTGCACGTCTCCATGCATGTTCCCCCTGTCGAACGAATCTACAAGTTCTACGGATGCCCCATCAAGGCATACCGTAAGCATGTCCCCCCACCTCCCCACCTTCCCCCACCCCTTCCCCCCCACCTACCCAGCTGCCCCCCAAGCTGAGCTGAGGAACGCACCTGAAAAGCTGTAAGGCGGCGAGACACAGGAGGGGCCGGCTGCAGGTGGACACGTGTAGCCCAGGGATAGGCCCACGTTGCCGTAGCCACTGCCCCAGGCAAAACGCATACAGGGATGGAGATTTCAGGAGGACGAGGGAGAGTTGAATCATGCTTTCGAGTCGACTCAAAAAGAGGGGGAGTTGATTTGTAAGCACCAAGGAAGCAGGTTCGGCTCTTGCGTGAATGGCGATTCAGGTGGCAAGACTATGGTTAGTGCGACGTGCTTTATCGTTGGCTCGCTGGCTAGCTGGCTTGGCTTGGCTTGACAACACGCCCCTGACCAAGCAGGCGCATATGACCAAGCAGGCACATATGACCAAGCAGGCGCATATGACCAAGCAAGCGCATATGACCAAACAGGCGCATATGACCAAGCAGGCGCATATGACCAAGCAGGCACATATGACCAAGCAGGTGCATATGACCAAGCTGGCGCATATGACCAAGCTGGCTCATATGACCAAGCTGGCGCATATGACCAAGCAGGCACATATGACCAAGCAGGCACATATGACCAAGCAGGTGCATATGACCAAGCTGGCGCATGTGACCAAGCAGGCGCATGTGACCAAGCAGGCGCATGTGACCAAGCTGGCACATATGACCAAGCAGGCTCGTTGGTGATGCTGGCGCTCTCTATGTACAGATGACCAGCACCTGACCAAGCACCCACCCGTCCAAGCACCCACCTGACCAAGCACCCACCCGTCCAAGCACCCACCTGACCAAGCACCCACCCGTCCAAGGACCCACCTGACCAAGCACCCACCCGTCCAAGGACCCACCTGACCAAGCACCTGTTCGCACCCACCTCACCAAGCACCCACCTGATGAGCTCGAAGGTGATGTTGAAATTGGCGATGTCGTTGGTGATGTTGGCGCTCTCTATGAAGCAGATGATCAGCACCTCACCAAACACCTGTTCACACACATATGACCAAACACCTGTTTGCACCCATATGACCAAACACCTGTTCACACCCATATGACCAAACACCTGTTCACACCCATATGACCAAACACCTGTTCACACACATATGACCAAACACCTGTTCGCACCCATATGACCAAGCACGCACCTGATGAGCTCGAAGGCGATGTTGAAGATGTTGAAGTTGGCAATGTCGTTGGTGATGTTGCTGCTCTCTATGAAGCAGATGACCGGCACCTAACCAAGCACCTGACCAAGCACCTGACCAAGCACCTGACCAAGCACCTGTTTGCACCCACCTGATCAAACAGGCACACCTGATGAGCTCAAAGGCGATGTTGAAGATGTTGAAGTTGGCAATGTCGCTGGTGATGTTGGCGCTCTCTATGAGGCAGATCACCAGCAGCGCCACGAAGAGCAGCGGCGCATCGCGCAGGATCAGCCACTTGCCCTGGGTCAACACCCCGTGGTCCAGCACACCCCCCTGCAGGGATTGTGTGTAGAGAGGAAAGTGGGCATGCTTGCTGGGTTGGAAGGCGTGAAATCGCACTGCACCCCTCCTAACCACTCGGAATGAGCCACTTGCCCTGGGCCAACACCCCGTGGTCCAGCACACCCCCCTGCAGGGATTGTGTTTGGGGTTTGTGATCACGAGGTGATGCCATGGCAAGTGGAGAGAGAGGACAGTGGCACGGATTCTGGGTTGGAAAGCATGGAATCGCACTGCACTCCTCCCGACCACTGCAGGAAGAGCCACTTGCCCTGGGCAAACACCCTGTGGTCCAGTCCAGCACACCCCCCAGCATGGTTTGTGTTTAGGGTGATGCCATGTGTAAAGGATTGTGTGTATGGTTAATTATCCAGCCATGTCGTCCCATTCCATCCCAAGTCATTCCACGTCATTCCACGCCATTCCACGCCATTCCATGTAATACCATGTAATACCATGTGATACCATGTGATGCCATGTGATGCCATGTGATGCCATGTGATGCCATGTGATGCCATGTGATACCATGTGATGCCATGTGATGCCATGTGATACCATGTGATGCCATGTGATGCCATGTGATGCCATGTGATGCCATGTGATACCATGTGATACCATGTGATGCCATGTGATGCCATGTGATGCCATGTGATACCATGTGATGCCATGTGATGCCATGTGATACCATGTGATGCCATGTGATGCCATGTGATGCCATACAATGCCATACAATGCCATACAATGCCATGGCAAGTGAAGAGGGAGAGCAGCATGGTTGCTGGGTTGTAAAGCATGGAATCGCATTGCACTCCTCCCAACTCCTCACAAATCAACCCCAAACCATAAAACCAGCTGCTCCATGCAAGGACAAGTCCTCCGCCCCTCACTGCACATGCGAATCGACTCAAAAGCAGACCCAGCGCATGCCACTCCCCATCCCTCACAACGCATGCCACTCCCCATCCCTCACAGCGCATGCCACTCCCCAAACCCTCCCCCCCCCTCTTGCCTGCAGGTCCTCCCAGAAGACCCCGATGTCCTCATTGTCGTACACTTTTAAGCTGCCTAAATGACACATTCCCACATTTCTCTTCCCCCCCCCTCCCCAGCCCTTGCCTGCAGGTCCTCCCAAAAGACCCCGATGTCCTCATTGTCGTACACCTCCCGCTGCTCCCGTGACGATTGCCGAGTCAGGTACAAGGGGTACACTGCCACGTACCTGCTACCCACAGCCATGGGAGGGACGAGAATGGAGGTCAGATGGCAAAAGAATCAAATCCGAGGAACCATAAAATTGTACAAAGAGGACACTGCCATGTACCTCTCACCCACATAGTTGGAAGGGCACGGAGTGGGGGTGAGATTAGATGGAAGGAGACTGAAATCTATGAGGCGCCTGAAAGCTGTACAAGGGGTGCACTGCCAAGTAACAAGGGGACGGAGTAGCATACACCAGAATAACAGTTGCCGACAGCATACTTCCCACTCATGCTCTTGATCCACATACTCGCACCATGCTCCATGCACTCACACCATGCTCCCACGCACTCGCACCATGCTCCGTGCGCTCGCACCATGCTCCATGCACTCCCACCATGCTCCATGCACTCCCACCATGCTCCATGCACTCCCACCATGCTCCATGCACTCCCACCATGCTCCATGCACTCCCACCATGCTCCATGCACTCCCACCATGCTCCATGCACTCCCACCATGCTCCATGCACTCACATCATGCTCCATGCACTCACATCATGCCAAGGTAAAGCAGCAGCATGGGTGGGCGCAGGAGGGCGATCACAATGACGTTGAACCCCGCATTGCGTGTGCTCACCGACTGGAAGTATCCAGCCAGCACCTTGGTGCCACCTGGCGCACGCACACACAGAGGTCGCACAGACAGAGATCGCACAGAGACAGAGAGAGAGGGGGGGGGGGGGGTGTGGTGATGAGAGTGGTGGCTAAACCCACTAAGTGGTGTTCTCTTGTTGCATGTGCTCACAGACTGGAAGTATCCTGCCAGCACCTTGGTGCCACCTGGCGCACACACACACACAGAGGGAGAGGGGAAGACAAGGGGAGGCGGATTAGGTGGTGGGTTTGCTGCGCTGAGCAACAAGGTTGCCCAGCGCTCTGCACTCCGTGGCCTGCAAGTGCTGGAGCACACTGGACCGAACTGAACCACACATATACGAAGGGGAAGCAGCCCATGCAGAGATACCAGAAGAAAGCAGAGGAAATTCCTAGAGAGGACAGCACTCACTAAAAATACCGTGACTCACTGGAAAGATTGGCGCAGACGAAGACAACCTCGGTGTGGTTGAAAGGCGAGCACGGTGAACTCGAGCACCAGCGTAAAGCCCTTAGTGAGTGAGGGCCCTTGCGACTCACTGGAAAGGCCGTCGAGGGCAGGCGAGGACCAGTCATTGGCGCAGAAGAAGACAAACTCGGTGAGGTTGAAAGCAAGTACCGTAAACACGAGCACCCAGGTGGAGCGCGGTGGGAAGAGGTGAGTGAAGCACTTGCGTGGGTGTAAAAGGAGGTACGAGTAGACGATCTGAGTGTGGGTGTGGGGGTAGGAGCGAAGGGGGGAGCAGGGTGTGGGGGTAGGAGTGATAGAGAGACCTTTGAGGCAGTTCAAAAGAGGTGTGTGTAGCATTTGCGCTGTGGCTTGGAGCAGGGGGTACGAGTAGACGATCAGAGGGGAGCCAGGTCGGGGGGTAGGAGTGATGCAGGTGTGTGTGTAGCACTTGATGCAGGAGGGGGGACAAGTGGACGATCAAAGGGGAGCAGGGAGTGGGTGGGGGTAGGAGCGATTTGAATGCTTGCACGGAACGAGTGTAATGGAGGGAGAGAAGGTGGGATAGAGAGATAGAGGGGAAAGCGACGGAGGGAGGAAGTTGGAGAACGAAGTCGGAGCGAAAGCGAGCAATCGTGTGCGGGACCTTGAACCAGGCGAGACTGTATTTTTGAGGCGCCTCAAAAATAGACTCCTCACGGAGCGAAAGCGAGCAATCGTGTGCGGCACCTTGAACCAGGCGAGACTGTATTTTTTAGGCGCCTCAAAAATAGACTCATCACAGAGCGAAAGCGAGCAATCGTGTGCGGCACCTTGAACCAGGCGAGACTGTATTTTTTAGGCGCCTCAAAAATAGACTCATCACGGAGCGAAAGCGAGCAATCGTGTGCGGCACCTTGAACCAGGCGAGACTGTATGAGAACCGGCGGACCGGTGAGGGAGCAAGAGCAAGCATTACCCGTTTCTCTCCTCGTGAGAAGCGGCGGAGGAGCAGCAGTAGGGCCCGCAGAGTGGGGGGGAACATAGTGTTACCCAGCAGGATGAGCAGGGACGTGACGATGAGGAACGCAGGGTCCCCCTGAAACTCCACCAGGTTGCTGTTCAGCAGCGCTGCCCCTGTGTTGGAAAACGCCGACATTGCCTGGGAGGGGAGGAGGAGAGGAGGGAGGAGGGGAGGAGGGGAGGCGGGAGGAGGGGAGGAGGGGAGGAGGGGAGGAGGGGAGGAGGCACAGGGAAGGAGGAGGCAACTGTTGGGTCCTACTGCCTCAGACGCCACCACTGTTGAGCCCTGCTGCCCCTGTGTGGGAAAACGCCAACATCGCTTGGGGAGGCCGTTCGGGGGCAGAAAGGAGGGACGAGGGAGGGGCGAGGGAGGGGCGAGGGAGGGGCGAGGGAGGGGCGAGGGAGGGGCGAGGGAGGGGCGGGGGGGGCGAGGGAGGGGCGAGGGAGGGGCGAGGGAGGGGCGAGGGAGGGGCGAGGGAGGGGCGAGGGAGGGGCGAGGGAGGGGCGAGGGAGGGGCGAGGGAGGGGCGAGGGGAGGGGGCGAGGGAGGGGCGAGGGAGGGGCGAGGGAGGGGCGAGGGAGGGGCGAGGGAGGGGCGAGGGAGGGGCGAGGGAGGGGCGAGGGAGGGGCGAGGGAGGGGCGGAGGGGAGGGGGGCGAGGGAGGGGCGAGGGAGGGGGCGAGGGAGGGGCGAGGGAGGGGCGAGGGAGGGGCGAGGGAGGGGCGAGGGAGGGGCGAGGGAGGGGCGAGGGAGGGGCGAGGGAGGGGCGAGGGAGGGGCGAGGGAGGGGCGAGGGAGGGGCGAGGGAGGGGCGAGGGAGGGGCGAGGGAGGGGCGAGGGAGGGGCGAGGGAGGGGCGAGGGAGGGGCGAGGGAGGGGCGAGGGAGGGGCGAGGGAGGGGCGAGGGAGGGGCGAGGGAGGGGCGAGGGAGGGGCGAGGGAGGGGCGAGGGAGGGGCGAGGGAGGGGCGAGGGAGGGGCGAGGGAGGGGCGAGGGAGGGGCGAGGGAGGGGCGAGGGAGGGCGAGGGAGGGGCGAGGGAGGGGCGAGGAGGGCGAGGGAGGGGCGAGGGAGGGGCGAGGGAGGGCGAGGGAGGGGCGAGGGAGGGCGAGGGAGGGGCGAGGGAGGGGCGAGGGAGGGGCGAGGGAGGGGCGAGGGAGGGGCGAGGGAGGGGCGAGGAGGGCGAGGGAGGGCGGGGAGGGGCGAGGAGGGGCGAGGGAGGGGCGAGGGAGGGGCGAGGGAGGGGCGAGGAGGGGCGAGGGAGGGGCGAGGGAGGGGCGAGGGAGGGGCGAGGGAGGGCGAGGGAGGGGCGAGGGAGGGGCGAGGGAGGGCGAGGGAGGGGACGAGGGAGGGACGAGGGAGGGGCGAGGGAGGTACCTGCGCATAGGGGGTCGGATCGAAGGCATTCTTTAAAATTCTAACAAAACGAGGTAATCTAGTATCGGGAGTTTGAGGGCGAAAATTATCGCTCTTTGAGAGGAGAAGGGAGGTAGGAGGGAGGTGAGGTGGGTCATTGGAGGAGCAGGTTAGGACGGACGGAGGGAGCGGGCCACAAGCTGATGGGCCAGACACGCACTGGCAGCAGCAGCCAAATTCGTGAAAAGAGACATAAAGGCGGCATGCGTGCGCTGCCAGAGCCCCCAGCCTAGTTCTGAGACGTCTCAAGACGTGTCTGTCGGCGACATGCGTGCGCTGTGAGAGCCCTCAACCTCTTCGCCCTTGCTCCGTGCAATGCGAATGAGAGTTTGGCAATGCATGCTGTGATTGGCTAAGAAGCCAGAAACATCAGTGAATGACAGACACGAGAGGCCACTGGCTGACAGCGAACGAGACTGAGCGGTTGACAGGGAAGGCGGCTGACAAGGAAAGCAGCTGATAGGGAAGGCGGCTGACAAGGAAAGCAGCTGATAGGGAAGGCGGTTGACAAGGAAAGCAGCTGATAGGGAAGGCGGCTGGCAATAGCATATCGCGACTGACTGACATGAAAGGCGGAGAAGAACACGCTGTTGATGGTGTTGGCCTGCAGAGTGCGCTTGGCGGAAGCAGAGACGCTCACGATGAGCAGCAGCAGCAGGAAGGACCCGACCAGCACTGAGGCGAGGAACGCCGGCACCAGCCAGCTCAGCGTTTCCAGGGCCCTGTGTGTGGGGAGGCACGGCATGGGAAGGCCGCAGGCACAGTCATGTTTTTAAGGAGAGTCAAAGACAAACGGAATGCCGGGTCCAGCCAGCTAAGGGCCTCCAGGGTCCTGTGGGTGTGGTGTGGAGGCCCAGCAAGGGAAGGCGGCAGGCACGGTCATGTGGGAGCACGGCATGGGAACGCAGCCGGCACGGTCATGTTGTTTAGTAACTTAAGAAAAACAGGAAAGGAATGCCGGCACCAGCCAGCTCAGCGTCTCCAGGGCACTGTGACGGCTCGGCATGGGAAAGCGGGCAAGGTCGCGGCACATGGCGCATGGCACATGGCACATGGCGCATGGCACATTGCACATGGCGCATGGCACATGGCGCATGGCACATTGCACATGGCGCATGGCACATTGCACATGGCGCATGGCACATTGCACATGGCGCATGGCGCATGGCACATGGCACTTGGCGCATGGCACATGGCACATGGAATGGAGCATGGCACATTGCACATGGCGCATAGTACATTGCACATGGTACATGGCACATGGCGCATGGCACATGGCACATGGCGCATGGCACATGGCACATGGCATGGCACATGGAATGGAGGATGGCACATTGCACATGGCGCGTGGCACATTGCAGATGGTGCATGGCACATTGCACATGGCACATGGCGCATGGCGCATGGCACATGGCGCATGGCACATGGAATGGAGCATGGCACATTGCACATGGCGCATGGCATTGCACATGGCACATTGCACATGGCGCATTGCACATGGCGCATGGCGCATGGCACATGGCACATGGCACATGGCGCATGGCACATGGCACATGACACAGCACAGCCCCAGGGAGAGAGGGAGACAGGAATTATCCGGAGCTAGCAATGGCAAAGGAGGCAGTGGTGAGAATCACCAAGGAGGTCGGCAAGAGGGGGCAGTGCGATTGACAGCAGCAACGCCCATCAGGCAAGTGCACAAGGGCAGCATAGCGGAAGGGGCAAGTGAGCCCCCAGGAGACGCCCACCTGAGCTCGAGGAACCTGAGCTCGCCTGGCTGCGCCGCCGTCAGCATCTCGCCCACCAACGCATCTGCATCAGCATCCGCATACCCATCAGCATACCCATCAGCATCCCAGAAGTCCAGGTCCCCCAGGCTAGTCCGATTCATGCTGCTCGAGCGGCTCAACTGGTGCTCCCTGCTGCGCCACGGCAGGAAGGGCGAGTGCGCTGGGCCATGTGGGTGCAGTGCCGCTGACGCGGACTGGTTGAGAGATGCAGCACGAGTGAGCCTGGAGGTGAAGAAGTCAAGGGAGAAGCGCCTTGCGCCCGCCTCCTCCCCCCGCTGCTGCTGCTGCTGCTGCTGCTGCTGCTGCTGTGCTCTAAGCGCCTCAAGCGCCAGTCGGAGGCGCTGCCCTTCGATCTTAGCCGTCTCCCCTGACCACGTCATCGAGCCCAGCGTCCCAACAGCCCCCTCTGCCTCCACCACTCTACCTGCGACTGCGCCACCCACCCTGCGACGCAACCCGCCCTGTGCCACCCACCCTTCCTCCACGCCCTCGCCCCCTCCTCCGCTCCCCCCTGCCTCCCTACCGGCACCCGGATTCCCCAGGTGCTGCCCTGCTCTAGTCTCGTCGAGCAGTCTCTCCAGCACGGTTGTCAGGGCCAGGGGCCTTCGCCCCACCGGTGCTGCTGCTGCCACCTCTGCGTCTGCTGCGCCTGCTGCTGTCACATCTGCTGCTTCTGCTGCTGTTGCATCTGCGGTTGCTGCTGCTGCCGCTGTTGCTGCCGCTGCCGCCGCTGCTGCTGCACCAGAAGTTGCACCTACCGCGGCCACATGGCGTTCGCCTGCTGAAGCCATGGTGCCTGCTGAAGCCATGGTGCTGGTACTGGCAGCAGCTATCTCATGGGAAGGGGCAGCTGGCGAAGAGACAAGAGGGGGGATTGTGGCAAAAGACCTACTTTCTCCAGCTGCGGTTAAGTTAGCAGCAGCAGGGTGTGCAGCTGAGTCATGGGCGATAGAGTGTGCTGAGCCTGCTTCAACGTCAATATCTTCATCTCCCCCTCCCTCATCCCCAGCATGCACTCTAACCCCCTGCAGCTGCCCCAGCGCACTCCGACCACCTCCGCCGCTGCCTCCCTGTCTGCCCTTGCTGCTGCCGCTGCCGCTGCTGCCCTTGCTGCTTCCCTTACCACTGCCCTTGCCGCTGCTACAGGCGCTCATGGGACTCGCAGCTGCTACAGCTGTAGCAGGCAGCCCCACAGTCCGCCCACCGTCTTCCCCTGGCTGGGTAGCGGAAGTTGCAGTGATGGGGGGGAGGGAGGCGGAGGAGTGGTGGCGATGGTGATAGAGCAGGCTGGCGTGGGCCAGGTGGCGGTGGAAGTGGTAGCGGCGCACAAGGACAGGCACCAGGGACGTCACCACCTGCCAGCCACAGAGTGAGAGACGCCACAGCGGCGGCACAGGGCAGGTGCAGGGCAGAGGGCAGAAGCAGGGCAGAGGGCAGGAGCAGGGCAGAGGGCAGGTGCAGGGCAGAGGGCAGGTGCAGGGCAGAGGGCAGGAGCAGGGCAGAGGGCAGGAGCAGGGCAGAGGGCAGGTGCAGGGCAGAGGGTAGGTGCAGGGCAGAGGGCAGGTTCAGGGCAGAGGGCAGGTGCAGGGCAGAGGGCAGGTGCAGGGAAGAGGGCAGATGCAGGGCAGAGGGCAGGTGCAGGGCAGAGGGCAGGTGCAGGGCAGAGGGCAGGTGCAGGGCAGAGGGCAGGTGCAGGGCAGAGGGCAGGTGCAGGGCAGAGGACAGGTGCAGGGAAGAGGGCAGGTGCAGGGCAGAGGGCAGTTGCAGGGCAGTGGGCAGGTGCAGGGCAGAGGGCAGGTGCAGGGCAGAGGGCAGGTGCAGGGCAGAGGGCAGGTGCAGGGCAGACCAAGAGTGAAAGCCAGGTTGGGAGGGTCACGAGAAGATGGCGTGGTCCCCGCAGGCCGGGCTACATAATGGCTCACTGCGGTGACACAGCATGGCATGCCATGGCATGGTATGGCATGGCAAGAAATGGCGAGACAAGGCAAGACATGGCAAGACATGGCAAGACATGGCAAGACATGGCAAGACATGGCAAGACATGGCAAGACATGGCATGGCATGGCGTGGCAAGACATCGCAAGAAGAGTGCTGCGCATTAAGAGCGTGAGGCAACGAGGGGCACTGTCCCTGACCATGTGGTTACTACTGGTTACCAGCACGTAACTTGAGCTGAGCGCCCACCTGGCAGCCAATGAACATGAGGAGGAGCCGTGCGACGTTGGTGCCGTCAGTAAACACCCCCACGTCCACAGTGATGAGGCCCGCCAGGCACACGCAGGACGTCGCGTTGAACAGCGCGTCTATGAAGCTCATCGGACCAGCTGGCCCGCTGGGGGCAACGCAGAAGATAAGCGTAGCGGCGAGGATGACTATAACGAAGCACAGCATGTGCAGGCGGTAGAAGGTCACGCGCCGCTTGAGCCACGCTGCGACCGCGGCTGGGAGCGCTGTGCTGCGGGGTGTCAGCGGCGCGACGGCGCTCCGAGCCCACTTGGCCACGGCGGTTGCAGCGCGCCGAGGATGAGACATGGTGAGCCTGGCGAAGCAAGTGTAGTACAACGTCGCACGTCGTACAACGTCGCACGTCGTACAGCGTTGCACAATGGCGGCGACCGCGGCCAGAAAGATCTTCGGACGGCAGCGCTTCAATCAGGAAGCGACGCGAAAGCGTGGATTGCGGATGCGGCTGTGTCGTCCATAGAAAATATTAAAGCCACGGTGCGGCGATTGTCAATGAATATATCGGCGTGAAAGGATGTAGAAAGGCAAAATTGAGACGTATACGTCGAGAGAAGGGAGAGCGGCGAAAGAGAGCCTCTCGTCGAAACGTCGAGCGGGATGGAATTGCAGAGCGACGACGCATCTTCGTCACAGAAATACGCGGGCCGCGTCCGTAGTACCATCCTATGAGCAATCCTGTATCATGTGGTAGCAGGTAGCTTGCAATGCACTGAGGTACCATGCTGTAGAGTGACGACCACCTGTGGTGGCAGCCCGAGCTTATCGACATTAAGGGTAATTCCCTTGGTGTTCAACGCGAAGCCGGGGATAGCCGGCTTAGCCCGGAGTTTTTGCCACAACCACCCAGACCAGCCTTATACGGCACTGTAGAAGTGTGTATTCCCCGCTTCCTCTCATAGGTCCTACACGCAATCCACGCCATAGGGCTTTTCTCCGCAAGAAATGATGCAGAGTAGGGTATTCCGGCAACAAGGGTAATTTGAAGCCGTTCCCTTCAGCTGACGGAATTCCCTAAGCCTGCCTCGAAGCTAGGTGTGTGCCGTGCTGCACTGGGTTGAGCGGCAGTGGTGTCGTTCAAGGCATATTCTTTGCGGGTGTCCGTATCCGGATCAGTTGTCTTGACACGAGGGAGAAATTGGGATGCAGTCGGGCTGACGCGGACAAATTGGATGGTTCGAGTCAAGCTTGGCTGTACGAAGTGTCCAAACAATACGTCTTCAACTGGCCCTTGAATTCCCCACCACGCAAGGCAGTTGGTTGGATGGCAGGGAAGGGAGACGAGGACAGGGCGGCCTCTAGGCACCCAGCACGAGGAGAGGGGAGGGGAGGAGGGGGGACAGGAAGTACCGGTACTAAAATCGGGGATCTGGTTCGTGACTACAACGAGTTGTAAAAAACCCATATCATTCAATTACAACGTGCTCCAGAAGATATACATGGCTGGGCTTTGCGTAGCACTAGGGATGGTTATCAGCCGGAAATTACACCGTGGCTGGGCTTTGCTCCAAGCCTTTTGGATTTGGTTTTGCGCTTCTTGAGATCCTCGCTTTAAAGCGTGCAAACAGAATAATGTCAAGGTTCAAATGGCATTGAATCTCGCCAGGTGTTTTGTGTTATGGCTGGTTGGTTTCGCCCCTCGGCAAGTTCAAGGTCCTAACCTGGAAGTTATTATGTGCGCTCACTTTAATGCTGAGTTTTTTTAGCAAATTCCTGCGTCCTAGCCCAATGTCTTTTAACATTTGCCCGCAGAAGACACCAAGTTAGGTTCGGCAGAGCCTGACTCACAAGCAAATGTCGGATGACATCCGCATATCACGCAACACAAGCAATTCATGCACACTAAGGGTGTATTCCTACAAAGCTGGATCCAGCGAAGTTGGATCCATCGCGCGCGGTACAGTCTGGTGCAAGTATCGAAATACGCAATTCAGTGAGGTTTGGTTCGGTGTCTTCGAGTAATGAATTGACTAGAATAGAAGGTACAGGGTAGTTTTGTGCTAGGGTTATACGCTCTAAGAGCATTCACCTATATATCCTATAATAACATATGCATATATGTTTGACACGCCCCCTAGGCTGGATAAGGGGCAGAGCCTAGCAAGAGACACGCAACTCAGGGTCGCAACACTAGTCCAACCTCTAAGATAAGGGTCTGAAGACTAGTCATAAGGGTACAAACTAGGGAAGAGAAAACAAGGGCGGCACTACTAGTCTGGCCACTAGAAGGGAAGCCAAAAGACCTGTCAGAAGTATATATAAAAAAACAGTAGTACACAATCAAGGTCCTAGCAAGTGAGGAGCTACATGAACTAGATCAAGCTGCACAAAGTGACGTTGAAGATCTTTAGGCGCAAGCGCCTTAGTAAAGATATCAGCTGTGTTGGTACCGGAGACCAAGTGCACTACGCAGGCCTGGCGGCGCTGCTGTAACTCGCGCAGGAGGAAGTACCGCAGTTGGATGTGCTTCCCTTTGCCCTCCAGTCGAGGCTCCTAACACAGGGGGATCATGGCCCTGTTGTCAGCGTACAGGACCGGGGGCAGAGCTAGGCCGCTCATTGAGCAAGAAAATCAGCCAGCGGAGCTCTTGTTCCGCCATAGCACCATCGTAGATCTCAGCCTCACAGCTAAACTGTGCAACAGACGACGAGCAGGTGGACCTCCACGAGATGGCACCTGTACCAACGCTAAAGCAGTAGCCATGAGAGGACCTGAACGTCTCAGCGTTGTCCGCACACGAAGCGTCTGTGTGCCCAGTAAGGACCACAGGCCTGCGTCCTCTTAGCACTAGCCCCGTGCCCGATGTACTTGCTAGATAACGCAAAACCCTCTTAGCTGCCGACCAGTGCTGTGGTCGGTGTCTGCCTGTGGCCACAAAGCAAGCCAGAATGCTGAGAAAATATGCGAGATCTGGACTCGTGCAAGTCATCAGGTATATGAGGCAACCCACCAGCTCGGCGTAAAGACCACTAGGCTCTACAGAATCCTCAGGGACTGGAGCCGAGATTCTGTGATCTACTAGCAGAGGAGTGGGCTATGCAGAGGAGAACTGAAAACCGAACATCTGAAGGACCCGGCGCACCAAGTGTGACTGTGTGATAGTGATGGTGCATGCTGCTCTGTCCCTGGAGATCTGTAGGCCATGGTAGCGGCGCAGCTCTCCAAGGTCAGTGCATGTGAGTCTTCTCAGCAGCTCAGCCTTTACGGAGGCCAATGCGTCTCTGTCTGCAGTAGCAAAGACCAAGTCGTCTACGTAGACAAGGGTGTAGAATGGGGTCTGGCCTAAACGAACAAAGAACGAAGGGTCTGCAGACTACGGAAAGAACTGGAGATCAGCTAACGTAGCACGCAACGTGTCGTGCCACTCACGGGGCGCCTGCCGCAGTCTGTAAAATGGGCGGCGGAAGAGCCACTCAGCCCCAGGGACGAAGGTGCCGGTAAAACTTGGCGGACGGCACAGGTAGACCTGCTCGTGCTGGCTGCCCTGGAGTAATGCTTTGGAGAAGTCGAAGGAGTGCAACTCGTAGTTGCGCCCGAAGAGTAGTCAACTTCAGGGTCGGGGGCGAAGGTCTGAAAGAAGTCATCCCCCTCGCGCTGGCTGAAGCCTCTCAACGTAGCGCGCCTTGAACATCAGCGGCTTTCCAGGAGGGTGCTTCACCCTAGTTGGGGGAACTGCGTCGACGTAGGTGCTAGTAGATCTCCAAGATGCCATCTTCGCGTCCATGACAGATATCCACTAAGAGGCCCAGGTACCCGAGGTCGCCTCAACGTAGGTGCGAGGGGTCGGGATATACAGAGCATCTGGGTCACCCTCACGGACTAGCAGCATAGTGCAGAGATAGGGAGGGGCCAAGGACAGGAAAGCTAGCTCGTACTGCATGTCTTCTAGGACGTTACTGCCAAGGGCAGGTGCAACCCCGACGGACGGAGGATGGGCAGGGTCAGAGACCACTGCTATGGCTTAGTCAAGGCGGCAAGTAGAGGCAAAGTCAGCAACAGCAGCGTCAAGAGCGTGAAGACTGGCGACAGGAACGGACGGGTCGGTGACAAAAGAAGCGAGACGCGAGGAACAAGCGGACTAGCGGCACAGAGGGAGTTAGAGAGAGGAGGCAGAGAGACAACAAGTGACGACTAAGGAGACGACGGTAGAAGAGGAGCACGCGACGCATGAGAGCGAAGCAACATATGGTGAGAGCGCTGGACCGGAGAAACAGGACGAGCGCGAGAGGCACGTTGAGACTACCAGCAGGAGGGGGGGGGTCTGGTTAGGAGACAAGGGAGGAGGCACAGAAGGAGAATGAGGGGAGAAACGAGCCAAGGACGAGTCCGGGGGAGGAAACACAGGGCCGTAGACAGGCGGAGGAGGCAGTGGCGGGGGAGGCGCAGGCGGACGGTCAGGGGAGGGAAGACCCAAAGGGCGAAGGGCAGACAGGCGACGACTGCTGCTGCTGCTCAACGCCGATACCAGAACCTCTAGCCGCACCACGGCTACTTCCTAGATGCTCCATGATAGCACCCCCAGAACGAGAACCCTCTCCAGAACTGATGCCACCCCCAGGACCGCCGAGACGAGCCACGACAGTACCCCCAGGACTAGCACCCCCAGAACCAGCACCCCAAGATTGAGAACCCTCTCCAGCACCAGTGCCGCCCCCAGGATCGTCCAGACAAGCCACGTAAGTACCCCCAGGACTAGCACCCTCCTCAACGCCTGCACCCCCAGAGCTCGCAGACCCCTGCGGCGGCTGCGGCTGCGACAGTGGCTGCTGGTGCGGCGCCGACGATGGCTGCTGGTACTGCGCCGACGGTGGCTGCTAGTGCGGTGCCGACGGCGGCTGCTGGGGCGAAGGCGGAGGAGGAGACACTCGGGCGGAGACACGCGGCAAAAAGGGAGCCGCGAGGTCCCCAACGTCAGCCGACTCCTCCACTGGGACAACCGACGGGAGGGGAGTAACGTCAGACACACCAGACGGGGCAGGATGGGGAGGGAGAGGAGCAGGGGCTACTGGGGGAGTCAGGACGAGAAACATGGGCGGGATGAACAGGACACCTTGGTGGGGAAAGTGGGTGTAGAAGGAGACAGCCTCATCAAAAGTGACGTCACGGGCGTGAAAGAAACGGTGAGACGGTGGAAGTTAAAAGTTTCAGTCAGACATGTCGAGGGGGAAGCCAAGGAAGAAATCAGGGAGAGTGCGGGCACTAAGCTTGTCCGTACCAGAGGCACGAACGTAAGCAAGGTAGCCCTTGATGTGGAATGCAGACGCGCCACCAGAGGACCTGGTCCAGAGGAGGGTCAGCGAAACATGCGGCCGTTGGGAGAGTGGCCACAAGTTAAGTTGGTGAGTGGCATAGCGAACAGCGAACGACCACAGAAAATGGGGTGTACCGGCATGGATCATGGAGGTACGAGACACCTCTATGACCAAACCGATGCGTCGCTCAGCGACCCCATTCTGCCGCGGGGAGCCTGGCAAGGTATACGACTGGGTGATGCCCTCCGCACGACAGAATTGGCCAAGCCGACCAGAGGCGAACTCACCACCACAGTCGTAGTGGAGACGCAACACAGGGAGGCCGCGGTGGACTCGCGTAGCTACAACCCACAGGATAAGAACGTTAGGCACGTCAGCCTTCCGCTCCAAGGGAAACACCATGGTGTAGCGTATGTAGTCGTCGACAAGCACCAGAAAGTAGCG